GGCTTTTGGAAACCAATTGTAGAGAGAAATCGAAAATATGAGGGATTTTGGAAACCTTGTAGAGTGATTCACTAAGAAGTTAGACATGTGGAAGAGAAACTACATCTCAATGGGGGGAAAGATTATGTTGATTAAGTCCACCTTAGCAAACTTGCCCACTTACTTTCTATCCACCTTTAGGATCCCGAAAAAATTAGTTAGATAGCTAGAGAAGATAATGAAGGATTTCTTATGGGAGACAGGAGAGAAAAAAAGACCATATATATATATATATATAATAAAATAGGACAGTCCATGTTAGCTTGTCTCTCTTTTGAGAGAAGCTATTTATCTATTTTCTCCATTTTTTACATTTTTCTATTTTCTTTTGTTTTAAAAATATAAAAAATTAATCATATTTTGATTAGATCAATAAAATTGTACACTAATAGAGAGAGAGACTTTTGGGTTTTCCAAGACCTCTTATTTTAATGCATGTTATTATAGGTTGAGGTTAAGCAATCGAACATAAAACAACAAAAATAAAAATATTATTTTAAAAATCCACTAAACTTTCCCTTAAAACTAATAAATATTAACAAAACTTAATAAAAATTAAGAACATTTCAGTTCCACTTAAAAATCAAACTTAATAAACACTAATAAAAATAAGAAATTTAAATACAAAAAATATTAATTGATAGTTTTAATAATATTATGATTTAAACATGGGTTTGATATATTGCAAATAGAACCTATTTTCTAATGTTGTATTATGTTTTGTTTATTCTTTTTATTTTATTGATAACTATGTATAAATGCATTTTTAATAAATTAATTAATAATATTGTTAAAATCAAGGTTTTTAAAACCATATCGTATAGGGAACTGTTCTGGGGACCAAACCCCAAGTCGAACGGTTTGACCTTTCGGTCCAATCGTTGTCTGGGTTGACGGTTCGATCACTCGGGGTAGCGGTTCACTGACCAAATCAACGGTATTTAGTCAAAAAGCGGCTTTGGGGTGAAACAAAACTGTTCAGCTGACTGGTTCCTATTTTTTCTGGTTTTGAAAACACTAATTAAAATTAATAATTTCTATGAGTTGAAACCTTTATTGTGCATAGTGCTCAAGAGACTTACATAAAATAAAGGACCCATTAAAAATGATCTAAAATGAAAAATAATGAAAATTTAAAATGTAGAACCCATTTTATCACTCAAACAAAAAAGACAAGCTAAACAGGTCTGTGTTGACCCATTTTCGAAAATGGTTCCAGTTCATCTAGAAACCCCATAGCGTGTGATACAAGACATACAAAAAAAATAATTGTAATCTAGATAATAAATATATAAAATAATAAATACTAATATAATAATAATATAAAATTTGAAACCTGATAACTATAATTAATAAAAATTACTAAATTTTAGCAAGTTTTTACTAGCAACTATTAAAAGTTAAGAAATTAATAAAAATTAGTAGTTCATAAATTAAAAAATTAAAATACAATTTAATTCTATTTAAATATAACTAATATTAATAGGGTAATTAAAATTAATAATAAATAATAAAATAGACCATTTGCATTCCATTTATAACTTAGCCCAACCTTGGGCTCAAGCAAATATTTTCTTCTAAGTTGGGTCTAGCTCAGATCGCAGTAGGGCTATAAATTTTAGCAGCTTTTATCTAGCAATTATTAAAAGCTAAGAAATTAATAAAAATTAGTATTGATGGGATAATTAAAATTAATAATAAAATGTAACAAATCATTTATAACTTGGCGTAATCCTGTTAAATCTATAAATTCATGCTCAAGCCACTATTTTCTTTTGAGTTAGGTCTAGCTCAAATATCCACCAAGCCCACATATAATGTGGGTAGTAGGGTTGTAAACGATATTCAAATCAAATCCAGTTAAATCCACATCAACATCCAATTATGAAATTTCTAGATCTGCATCCACATTTGGTTATTATTATGTTGGATTTTGAATTTTAAACTCTAAATGCATATATGTATAATTACACATAATATCTGTGTATACAATAATTATACTACATATACAAAACAATAATTTTTTATTAGGTGTGGATTTTAATCAAATTGGATAGGATTAAATCCACATTATTAACTAGATGCAAGTTCTAGAATCCAAATCTAGGATGATCGGATTCGAAGTTTAATTGGGTGTCGAACTTTCAAAGTTTAATGACGACCCTAGTAGATAGGGTCCAAGCTAAGCAAACCCCTAATAAGCTCAACCTGGAAGTTATATGCATATATGGTAAACATTATTATATAATATTTAGATAACAAATTTTATATTAATATATATGGAAATGTTATATATTTTTATACTATACTAGAATTAAATAAAAAATTTAATTTGCAAAAGAAACATAGTTTTATAATTAACATGGGCAAAGCTTGTAGGCCCAAACAAATATTATTACACTTAAGTGTGGGTTGGGCTAGGCCAAGCAACCTTAAAAACTGCTAATACACTATCAAAATTTTCATTGGGCTACACAATAGGGGTTGTCCATCCTCCGTAGCTCTTTTGGCTTCAATATTATCTAAAAATAGTTAATAAAACCTAAGAAATAATGCATGCATGGGTTGCACTCGGTTTGGTTCAGTCCAATTAGGAAAGTTCAGTGTTTTAAAAACACAAGGCGCAGGGGTCAATTTGTGCCTAAGGTGCAAGGCGAGGCGCACGTCTTTTTGATACAAGGTGCAAAAATTAAAAAAAATGCTAAAAAATAAAGAAAAATGTTAGAAAATTCAAAAAAATGCCAAAAAAATTCAAAAAATCAAAAAAAATATTAAACATAATATTAATAAAAAAATATAAACTAAAATTTTAAAATAATGTTTTAAAAAACCTATTATCTAAAATTAAAATACATAAACATAAGATGTAAAGCATATTCAAATGAGAATTTAAAAATAAAATCAAACATATAAAACATTTTTAAGCATGTAAAACCTCTAATTTCTTTTTTCACTCAATTGCAGTACTTCACATAGCTAATGTGTAAAACATATTACATTCCTGATTCTATGAGCCGGCTTTGTGCCAGGCCCCTCGAGGCAAGCCCAAACAAGTCCACGTTAGGTCTTAAATTCTTAATTTTCACACAAAAAATAATGATTTTATAGTTTTAATTGCTTTTTAAGAAGACATTTTATTAGGATGAATGAATGAACACCAAATTGGGGGTTCTCAGAGCTTCGGTGAGCGAGCGAAGAACCCCCAGTGAGGAAGATAGATTGTGGTGGTTTAATGAAGAGAAATACAACTCTACTAGGGAAATGGTTGTGGTGGTTTCCCCGTGAGGAAGATAGATTGTGGCACAGGGTCATTGAAAGCATTCATGATGCAGTAGATAATGACTGTGATGCAAAAGTAGCAGCTAATGCAGCTTCAAATTTCCCCTGGAAAGAAATCTCTGAAATCTTGCCTTTATTTATTAATTTCATCTGTCTTGATGTTGGGTGTGGGAATAAGATTTTAATCTGGAAAACCTTTGTCTTGGGGACTAACCACTTTGCTTGCAATTCCCTAATCTTTACTCTCTATCAAACCTAAAGGCTTGAACAGATGAACTATAGCTAGGGTCGCTGCACTCKCAGAAACTGAGATCAATTGAGACTTAGGGTTCAGAAGGGGCTTAAGAGACAATGGGTGTGATTCTCTCCTTGTCCTTTTTTCAAAATTGGAAGTGGTTTACCTGGATCAAAATGGCCTTGATAAAAGAATTTGGCATCCAACTTCCGCTGGCTTGTTTTTTCGTGTTTCTTTCTTTAACGTGCTTGCCTAATTGGACTCAGTGGGGGTAAATCTCCTTGTGAGAGAAATTTGGTGCAAACCAATTCCTCCTAAAGTAGAAGCTCTTTGTTGGGAAATGTTCTTAGGGATGGAAAACACCTGTGACATGCTACAGAAAAGAAGACCAAATATTTGCCTTTCTCCCCATATGTGTGTTCTTTGCAAGGCTTGTGGTGAAACCCTTTCTCACTTACTTTTCTTTTTCTCATTTGTTTCTTATATTTGGGACTATTTCTGTTCTCTCTTTGGTTGCATATGGGCTCCCCCACAAGGAGAAGTGAGCCTTTTCAACCCAAATTTCCTGAGGCAACAAAAGAAAAGGGGAAGATGTATGTGGAAGGTAGTACTTGTAGCCTTGGTTTGGTCTATTTGGGAGGAAAGAAATCAGAGGGTCTTCAATGAGAAAAGTAAATCCTTAGAGGAGGTGATTGAAGCCATTAAAATCAGATCAGTACATTGGGTTAAAACCTTGGAACTTTCCATGAAATTGGAGAGAAGTGGCACTCTCAGAACCACATAGAGAAAATATAAGAATGGAGTGGAAACCACCAAGTTTAATTTGGAAATCCAGGAAGAGTAGGAAAAGGGGGAGTTTTCGAAATCATCAAGGAGTAGTGATGGCCTTATTCTCAGGATCAATCGGTTTTGGTGACTCAATTCAGGTTGGATCAAAAGCACTGTTGCAAGGACTGAAATTTGCTGAACAATTAGGGGCAAGAAAATTGGAAATTGAAGGAGACTCCCTTCTGGTCRTAACATGAACAAAACAAATTGAGTCAGCACCCTGGAAACTCAGATTCATTTTCAGACAGATTGACCAACTTTCAAAGAAATATAACTCTATTAAAGATGGGTTAAAAGGGAAGAAAATGGGTTGGCCGATGTGTTAGCCAAGCAGGGAACTAGTAGACCATCCTTATTTTGGGCATTGTAGTAACCTAGTATTTATGGGGTCCATATACCTGTAACTTATTTTCAAATATTTAATTTAATAAATGAATTTCTTTGCTCATAAAAAAAAATCATGGAAAAGCTTGGGTTGAGCCCTGTTAACCCAAGCTATCTTATGGGTGATATCTTGTCACCTAGTTGCATTTTCTTTCTCTTTAATTAAATTTTTTCTTTTTGATTTATTAGCAAAAAATTATTTGAAGATAAATACTGATAAATATTTATTTTGCAGGGAATTCCTCAAAACCTCTTGATCCAAGATCCTTGACCATTTTGGGTCTGGAACATACTTCACATTCTTTGAAGATGATGAAATTTTTCAGTAAGGAAGAGGTTAAGAAATCTGCAAGTTCTTTGGGATATGTTGCACATGTGAGTATAGATATGTTCCTTGACATGAAATAATCCAATTGCAAATTCTTCTTGCTAGTTGTTCTTTTTGTTTTTTTCTCTCTCAAACTATTCTCATTTTCTATAGATCAATGCCAAACATTTTTTTTCTATTTTTTTTTCTTTTTTGGTATGTTGTATCGAGAATGTAGTTATTACGTTTAATTTTCTAGTTAATATGATATATATGAATTAACAATAAAAAATGATATGTACGAGTGGTAGAATTTCTTTTGATTCACCAATGAAATTTGGAATTTTGTGCTGGAGTAATTTGTTAGTTTGGTTGCCTTGCAGGCAGTTTCACTTATTGCTTCTTACTTAGATGTTCGTTTGCGATACCCTCTTCGCTTTGGAGGTTCATACTCATGTATCATAGACAATGCACCTTCAATTGATCCAGTGTCCGATTCAACGCCAAATTTATTACCTTCCGCAGATTATAAGCCTACAGAATTTCCTCTCTTCCTAGAAGGCCAAGATACGACTAGAGCAGCTTATGCTATATTCTTGTTGAACAAGGTGTGCTTGCCTTTTCTGCTTTGTTATCTCTTTCTTCTAGGCATATTAGAAGTGGTTGCCACCTCATCTAGATATTGTTATGCACTCCTTGGATTTTCTTTGCTGTCATGGATTAGAATGCCACCTCATCTAGATATTGTTATGCACTCCTTGGATTTTCTTTGCTGTCATGGATTAGAAAAGTAAAATTGGTTAAAAAAACTTGGTAGTGTGGGAACCGTAGTAGATAAATCTAGAGTGCACCATTGATAAATAGAGGTACCTGTTCATAGATGGCTTTAGGCTTCATGCTTGATAAATAGATTTGGATGTTCTTATAATTTTTGGCCGACTTGTGGAAGCTGTTTTAGCATGCTAGAATGTGTTGGATCTGTGAATAGGGAACAGATGTTTTGGACTCAATTTTAAAGAAAATTTCTATGAGGATAGGTGGATGGTTCACCAATCTTTGGGTCTGTATATAAGCTTTGTATATACTTTTTGATGCTCTTTTAATAAAATCAGTTATCTATCAAAAAGAGTCATTTTATCCTTTGTGGTATTCTGGATGTGATTTTATCCCTTAACTACCATAGAGCCTGTGYACTGATAAAAAAGATCCATTTTTTGTTGGTTAGCTTGGTGGCATTATTTGGAGGCTATGGCTATTAATGCATTTCCTTGGGGAGGCATGTATTAGTACCGAGCTTGAATGTCTCATCCCAGTGGATGTATTGATCTCCTAATGATACTTTTTTTTCATAGTAAAGAAAAAGAATCACTAAAAGAAGATCAGCATTAGGTTAAAAGGAATCAACCACTAAGGATAAGAATAACAACAATCACTCTGATTGCTTCTGACGAAGGGTAACCACCACCATAACCAATCCCAAATACATACAATCAAACTACATACAATAGACTCAAATTGCAAATTTGGACCAGCAAAGGGACCACTACTTGCAGAGATTGACACCTTGGCCTCTCTTTGATCAAGAACCATACCCACACTTCAAGCAACCAAAACCACCAACAACATATAAAAATAAACTTTCTCATTTGGCCCTATTATCCCATTCTTCTCACCATAAAATCTTCCAAGACAAACCTTCTCCCCTATAACTCCACCTCTTTTTCTCCTCTTTGCTAATCCTCCATACCCAATGTGAATACCATCCTTGCCTCTCCTTTTGTCCTTCCCAAATACATGTTAGAAGACCTTTGTCTATTGAATCTCTTGGCAATAAGTCCGATTGAAAAATGAGGAAGTAGAGAAGAGAAGAAGAAAAGGTTTGGAGCAATGGAACAGTACTGGCGGCGCCAACTTCTATTATATTATATAGGGTGGAAGAAATAAGAAGGGAAAAGACTCTTGTGCCCCTGCTGTAAGTGAGTACAATAATAGAAAATAAATAAAAGGCTTTAACTAGCCAAACACACCCTAACACAAATAACTAAATTATTTCAACACTCCCCCTCAAGTTGGAGCATAGATGTCAATCATGCCCAACTTGTCACACAAATCATTGTGCCACACATGATGAAGACCTTTGGTGAAGATATCTGCAAGTTGATCTTCTGAGCTGACATATGGAGTACACACTTCTCCATTTACAAGTTTCTCTCT